TAAACAATAGGGGGCAAACTTGAGTTATCTCAGGAACAAAGTGAATGACAGGAAAACTAATTAAATATTTGAAATCAGCACAAAAAAACTGCATAACCATGTGCAGTTTTATCAGGATCACTGAAGAAATAAACAAAAAATGTCTAAGACCAGTCTGCCCCCTTAAGTTTACCCTTCTTTCCTTCAAAGCAGAGTCAAGTGATGCAGGGTTTCACTGCATTATCTCAGGGTCATACCAGAGCAAAGGCTCAATATAATATTGGCACAGTACAGCAGGCAGGCAATACATCATAATATAGTGCCACATATATTATCAGTTTGAATGATGAAACAAAAGCTTGCATGATGTCAAACACCAAACTGCATTTATAAAATATACAATCGAAAACCTACTACTGGAACAGATACAAAAGACAAAGTGCTTTGGTCGAGGATATATTAATAACTTCCTAGAGAGAATGTGTTAAACAAAAGCTTATCTGGCCAAGTAGCATTCAACATGTTTATTCTGCTGCACCTTTTTATATCTATCTTATAACCATTACACACGCTTACTATTTCAGTGAGGCAAAAAAAAAATTTCACGAGAAATTTCATGCTGTGAAGGTGCACAACTAGCAAAGCTGCATGTTACCCAAAGTTCCCTACCATGTAATATTCAGGAGGGTTCTTCCCCATCTTCACATTCTCTCGTGGCACGAAAACACTCGTAGCACTGGTGAGGATGACGTGAACATAGAGTTTCCAAGATATACACTAGAGGGAACTCTGGCGCCAGTGTCTATGGGAGCTGCAATGCATAGCGCTTCACCGAGCATGGGAATGATGGGTAGTACACAAATTTGTCTAATCTTCGTACTTCTGGCTTCCTGTGTGTTTGTGTGGCTTGAAAGTGTTCTGTCCCGAAACAAAAATGAATGAATGTTTAGTGGTTGCACTTCACCACCTTAATATTTTAGGCTTGCTATTTGAAACCGGGTGCCAAAGTTCAAAAGGGTTTGTTGTTTCTTTCAAAACAAAAGCAAAACACAGCAATAAACAGAGCCACAAGTGCGATTTGCTGCCTGCAAGTACAAGGACTAGGCAGATCTATGTACTACCCATCTTTCCCATTGTCGCTGAACGAACGCAGCTCCAAAGTCCTTTCTAGTTATTTTTAGGAAACTCTATGGGTGTGAGGGCAGCTTAAGGGGGGAGGCTACCCTAAAGACCGAACTTTTTTATTTTTTAAGATATCTGGATGAAACTTTCAGGGGTTGTTCACTACAATAAAACTAGCACAACTGCTAAGTTTCACGAAGCTGTGTTTCTTAGTTCCAGAGTTATTGAGGTTTAACTGGGTGCTTCACATGGGTGCCTGAGGAAGAGTCGTGAGAAATCCCAGGACATAGTAGAAAGCTGAAATTCATTGCGGTCATTCCTTGATAGCTATCCCAGGGCGCTACAAAGCCGTTTTTTTTTAATTTCCCCCCCCCCCCCAAAATTTTCACGCAACTTTGAATTTGATGTAACCAGTAATGACCAGATTCATCAAAAATTAATTGTTTATTATAAATTAACAGCACCAATTTTCAAAAAAAGGAGCTTGTTACACCCTTGCAAGGTCATTCAGGAACAGAATAAAAAAACGGCACACAAATCTGATGAACGGTTTTCGAGTTCTTGCTTTCCTCAGCACCACAACTAGCAAAAAAATCCGTTCCGAGAAAACAGGCCGAGAAAGTTCAAAACACGTGTTTTCTTCAAAAAGCTCCAGCACAGTAGCTAGAAGTCTCCTGGCGCGCTCTTTTCTTCTTTTGCCTGGCCTCCATCTTCTCTTGGTGTCTTTTAGAATTCTTTTTTAGGCGTAAAGCGTCTTTTTCACGAGCTCGCTGGATGGCCAGATGACCTGGTTGAAGTCCAATGGAGTCCGATATCACTTGGGTTGCTTTGCAGCAGCCGGCATTGTAGCGCAGCACTGCTTCATGCAGTGCTGTTTCTACCGCGATCAAGGATGAGTGTTGTTCCTTCGGCATCAGAGACCACAGAATGGAGTGGAATGATTCTGATGCATTTTGCGTCTTCGCTCCCAGGCAGCGCTGAAGAAGCGACTTTTGTGACAGTCTTTCGTAGATGGGCAGCATAGCTGCAGCGACATAGTCCGGTAGGCTGTGTTTATGTCTTGGCTGTGGGTCACGCTTTGCCTCTGCAGCTCTATGGCGGCACCACGATTGAGCCCCCTCTGGGCAAAGTTCATGGTGAGGGTCCTGGTCAGTCGATGTGACGTGGTGATATGTTGCCATCACTGCACGCTGCATGGCTGTTAGGTCAGTTGAATTGTTTCTCAGGGCCCAACCATAATATCCTGTCAGCTTTTCAATGAGGGCTTTAGTCAGCTTCCCCTTCCCACTCAGTGGCTTATCACTTTTCTGCACAATGTTTCGAAGAGCACTTCCAATCCTTTTCTGAACATGGTTCAGACATTCTTCTTTTACAATTGGCACTAGCCCGTACACATTCTCTTCTGTGAGGGCAGCGAAGGTACGGCTGTCTCCGTCGGACACAAGAGTGGTGTACCGCAGGCCATGCTTGGATACAGACCGCCCAAAGAGAGTCAAGCCTGCCTCCACTTCCATGCTTCCCGATTTTGAGTCTGTGTTTTTCTGGCAAATGTGGTGCTTCTGCCAGCTTTCGTATGCTGCATCTCCAGGTTTGGGCCCTGTTTGGCATCCAAGGCAGTGGTTTGAAAGAACTACAGCATCCAAGATGAGACCTGTAAAGAAGTCAATTACCGATCCCACTCCGATGTGTGATGTGTGACCCCGCTTATGCCATGTGCCATCATACACTACGGTGATGTCCTTGCAGAAGCTGGGGTCCATTTCTTTCTATGTTTTGATCACTGCTGTGGCAGAATCAGCATAAAATTCTCCAAAGTGGTGGCCTCTGGCTTCCTGAACGTTTCTTTCAAGTGCTTTTGAAACGTCTTGTGGTGAAGACCTCTGTAAGATACGTTCATGGCAGCCCAAAAGTCATTAAGAGCTGTTTGCCCCTTGCCTATTTGCTTTATAGCCATTATGGCGCAGACATTTACATCGAAGGCCTGCATGTCCTTTTTGCGGGGTGATGTCCATAATTTATCGACGGTGCCACAAGAGGCGCACACGACTTCAAGTTTTGTTGCAAGTCCAAGCTTGGTGCTCTCTCGGACAGTCATAGCACCTTTCAAACATTCTTTGCACACTGTGCAGCTGAGCAGGACGTTAAAGATGTTCATTTGAACGAGCGAAAAATGTTCGCCCTCACTTGTCACTGCAGGTGCAAGAGCCGGCTGCATCAGTTGAAATTTCTTCTGCGTCGCCGGTGTAGACTCAAGTTCAGCGCGAACGGCGTCACGACGTTTCGCATTCGCATCGATTTCTTCCTTCGTTAGGAAACGCGTCCGCAGATGAAGCGACGGTCCACTCACGCTCGATGGCGGCACCGATTCAGACGAAGTGCTGGGTCCGGCGATATCAGAAGCACTCGGTGTCACGCTCGATGGCACCGATTCAGACGAAGTGCTGGGTCCGGCGATATCAGAAGCACTCGGTGTCACACTGGATGGCATCGATTCGGAGCACGTGTCGAGCCCGGCGATCTCGGAAACACTCGGTGCATTTGCGGCTCCAGCCACACTCGATGTGTCGGATTCTCGACTGGCGACAGCCGACAACACAGTTCCGTCGCTGCAAGCGTCTACGCAGTCGGCACCCGCAGCAGAATAGCGGAATTTCGATGATCGTACAAGCCGCATAGCGCGCCTCCGCGCACCGGACTTCCGCACTGACTTCGGCTTCGTTGCCGGCATCGCCCGCAACAACAAAGACGAAAGGCACAGAACTAGTGCAAAAAGAAAAAAAAACGAGAGAAAATGATCGAAAAGATAGCACAAGGCGAAGAGCGGCTCGTAAGCAGACGTCTGTCGAGGAGGACGGAGCAGAGAGCAACAACGAAGCGAGCGCGCTGGACGCGCCATCGAGAGGAGCGACCGCCCCCACTGCTGCACAGCAGCCAATGGCGGGCACGCTTTCTCCCGCGAGATATGAATGTGCTGCTCTAGCCAATCAGCGCTCCGCATCGCATCGCGGGAAAACGCCAATAGCGTCTCAACTGTGCTGCCGACGCCATTTTGCAAGGCGGCGAACGAGAGAGAAAGAATTCACGGTCAAAACAACACCAAGATGGCGCGGGACGACCGCATGGCCCGGGAATGGCGCGCGCGCGAAGTTTGGTTTGATTTTGGGATTTGCGCCTGTTTTGGACGCCGCGGCGGCCTCGAAAATAGTATTTTTTTTGCACTTTGCGGTTGAATTAGGTGCTGATAATTACAGAATAGGTAGTTTATGAGACATACAACCCAAAAATGTGGTTTTTCAAAAACCGACTTTTTTGCGATTTTTCGGTTTTCAAGGGCCGCGTCCCCCCTTAAGTAGTCCTGCCATCATCGAAGCTATATTTACTTGGAGCACAAAAGACACAGGGACAAGAGAGCAGCAACTGTGGCAGTAGCCTCTTAGCCAACCATGAGACAAGAACGTTCTATTTCTTGGGCTCACACCTTGAACCCTACAGGTACTTTTTTGGCCAAGGGTGGCCAGACACACCTTGCATTGTACTCATGGTTGTGCTACAGACACCTCGCCACATTATAGGCTTGACAAATTTTCATGCGCTGCTCTTTGGCAGGCTTGACTGTAGCAGCAGCACTGCAGTTGCTCATGCCATGTGCAGTACGGGGGGAAACTGGGAGGAGGATAACTATTTTTACTCATGCTCAGTGCAGGTACTAGCACAAAGACAAATTGCCCTAGCCATACACAGCTTCACTGTAAAAGTAGCAGCAGACAAGGGCTGGTAATGAACAACAAAGGCGAGCACTAATATAAAAGACAAGCAATGGAGATGAGTGCTTCTGTAAGCTATTGCAGTGTACACATGACATCATAATGCATTACTAAAAAGCTTGCCCCACACATTACCTTTTGAAAATTTGCTCTTCCATGCTCTGGAAATGGTATTTGGATCAGGCATGAGGTGTCGCGAAGGCTCCTCATCAGGAGCTGACAACTCTGTGCTGGAGACGCCAGTTCTAGACTCTCTCTGTCGCTGTGAAGACTCTTCAAGAATGCAACTCAATGCTGCATTTGCCCCATTTTTTTCGTATTTCTGAAACCAACAAGGCTGTATTTAACTGCTTATGCACATAATAAAGTCTGAGTGTTCAATGCCGAAAACTATTGATGTTGATATCACTGCTCTTCAGTCTGTTGAAAAGTTGTTACAATACATATACACAGCAGCAACATCTGGAGTAGCCAAACATATCAATAAGATGCTGCTATGCCAGTTCCAAGCAAATACTTTCCATTGTATAACATTCATGACATACATTTTGCAAGTTGAAAGAGAACATGGTATGGTTATAAAACATGATAAGCTTAATTAATGAAAGCAATTTCACATTGAATATTTCAGTTAATATTCTGAAAGTGCATGCATATGTGAGCCTCAGTTTGAGAATAGCCATATAAATGGTAACAGCTCATACACACTTGCCCTGGAAATCATCGAAGCAGCGGCAACAAACGTAAGCAATTCATAAGCAACTCATAAGCAATTCGTAAATGTGAGAGTGTCATTCAGCGCCGCCAGTAGTAATGACGGTGAGAGCGAAACACACTTTTTTTTTGCCTGTTGGCATCACGTCGTTATGCTGGCAGCGGACTCTTAATTCAAGCATCACTGTCAGTTTTCATTATTATTATGCCTAACAAAGAAAAAATGAGCCCTTAAATTTACACGTCTTTCCTTCATCCATAGTGAGGGTCTCATTCTGGCAGAATTGAAGCCTTCAGGTAGTATGTGAGAGATTATTGACAGAAAGTTATCTTTTTATCCACTTTTTTTCTTCACATTTAAATTAAAATTACATCTAATAACATTCCCTACATACTTTCTTTGGCCCCACTGCGATAGTTCCCATTAATATTGTACCTAACAAAGACAGAGTCCTTAAATTTATATTCGCTAATTTTTTAGCATAAGGATGATTACAAGAAAAAGTTTAAAGAGAATTTTAACTTAAATTTTTTACGAAAATTCTAACTTAAACTTTATGCCAAAATACAAGAATTGGTACATCAGAGTGGTTTTGAAGATTATTTTTGCATTTGAGCCAGTTCAGTGCAACAATAGTCCTCAAAACTTGAAAACTTGTATCCTTCACCCTTTCATAGGGCACTTTATCTAATTTGAAAAGAAAAATTCATTATAATGAAGCACAGACTGCCCAAAAACCAAAATTTCAAGGTGAGCAAGACGACATTGCCATCTCTCTTTTTTTTCTTTGCATGTTTTCTTCCTCATGAAGACTTGGGATAGCAATCATGGCTTTTCAGCATTGTAGTAATATGATTTATTAACAAAAGCTAACCACTTCTTTCTTTTTTAGACTCCCCTAAGGATGAGTAATGACCCTGCCAAAAAGTACAGCAGTGAGAAAACTAAATGTTCGTTCAACTCACGTGGTTATCTTTTTCAAACAATCCTTTCCGCTTCTGAATCAGATGTTTGCGATAAAAATTTTGTATCTTCTTTGCAGCTTCATTCTGCACTTGAGTGTCCACAGAAATGCTTGATGCTGCCAGAAATCAATACAATATATTTTCTGAGGAACACAAGGTATACAAACAATTCTGGGATCCCATTACTAGGTAGGGGAGGCAAAAATTCAATGTACCAATGCAGCTATGCCAGAAGTATCTACAATGCTTATAAATAACAATGATTTTAAACTACTTTTAATATGAGACTTCTGTAACATGAAATAGTACTCAGTCAATCATTTCATGCACAAATTAAAAGAAGCCTTGAAAAAACGAAGGTACCATCTGAAACATAAGTATGTGGAAGAGTTATACAGTGAGGCAATACTGCCAAAAAGTGAAAAACTGATGCTTTGAAAGAAGCCACTAAGAATAAACAAGACTGATCCCTATTCTAAGGAAGTGGAATAACACAAAAGTGAAACATGTCTTCACAGAGGTAATTGAGCGTTTATTATGCATTGTTTCGCCATTAGGGCGAAGGAATTAATGCTACAACAATAAATTACAATGTCACACGAAGAACGGCAAGTAGCCCGAAACATCCAGCATGCACCTCAAGCAGAAAGTACACATGAAATGAGCATACACAGGACGAGCATCGACAATAAAGTGCCACAGCTCGACACTTAAAGCACGTTGCTCAAACAGAAAGAAATACGCACGAAACGAATGCTTAAGTATACACAGGACAAGCGCGAACAACTGTCAGAATTGTTACTTTGTGTGTGAGCAGTAGACTCCTCTCGTAAATGCGGTCGCGTCAGCGAGCGAAGTGATCTCCGAGCTCTTTTTAACCACTATAACTTCAAAGCAAACTTGCGGTGGAAGCACAAGCGGTACAAAGCGTTCAAATCTAGAAATAAGCGTGTGTGCAAATGATCGACCACGCCAGAGAACATCAATATATGGCGCGAGGGGTGCGCTATATATGGCGCGAGGGGCACGCACCCAACATGCACCCCTCGCACTATCTCATTACTGATGGTGAAAACGCGCTGAAGTTGCTGAGCTACGAGGACTGCCAACGATACATGGTGTATATAATTCACTAACTGTTAGCGAGCTGGACAATGTATGCTTTCTGCGGGGGTGGAAGAGGACTTCAATGTTTTAGAGCAGCTAGCTAGAGAGCAGGAATAATGCTGTTTTAGAGCAGTTTTGGCACAGTAAAAGGGTAATCTTTGAGCAGGTTAGGAGCACCAAAATATATGTTTTGGAGCTGCACGAGTTAGTTTCAGAGCAGCTTTCTAGGGCTAAGCATCATCGACCATCAAAACTATTGCTGGTGAAAAAAATTTGAATGATTTTCACTGAACGTTCAGAACAAGTAAGCTTACCAGACTTACCACCTACAAGAGAGAGAGAGAGAGAGAGAGTGAGTGAGTGAGTGAGTGAGTGAGTGAGTGAGTGAGTGTGTGCGCGCGCGTGCATGTGTGCGTGTGTGTGTGTGTGTGTGTGTGCAAGCACATGCGTTTGTGTGTGTGCGAGAGAGAGAGACAGAGACAAAACATGCACATGCACATTTCACACTCAGCCTGAAACCACAATAAAAATATACTCTGGGTGGTAAAAACATGAAAGAATCTGCTGCAATCCACACCATTACACCTGATGTGTGAAACGGAGTATAGACAATTGCAGTCGGAGTATAGACAAACTTCCACTTCACTTGGTGGAAGTTCGTTATCCCCATGCTAATTAAACACACTACTCTGCTCATCTGTGCTTTTTTCGGGAGCGAAGTGGGGACGAGCAATCCACACAACAAATCCGCGGGCATGGTGAGCAAACCACCCAGTGGTGATGGCGTGGGCAGCATAGGCACCGCGTTGCACGCAACTAACCAAGAGATGATCCAAGCCCATGCGACCACTCCGTGTTTTAATAAAACTGTCAATGGTTACTTAGTATCACATCGCAATAGAGAAGCACACGTCTGTATTGAGGAAAACCGAGAGTGTCCATTTTGTCACTATTTCAGCCGCTGACAACATCTGCTGTGGTACTGTATTTCTTTATTGGTGGCAGTGGAGCACGTCAGACGATGCGCATTTGCGCTTGTAAGCGCAATGATCGTGCCGCGTTACCGGCCGGTACAAATTATCGTGGTTCCACTGTATTTCTTGATAATTAACAGTTGCTCATGTTGGTGCCACCACTTTTGCAGGAAACCACAGCGATAACTGCAATGGGACGAGCACTAGCAAGCCGCAAGAATAAACCGAATTACGTGACCGAAGTCCAATGAATATGAATTTGGCCGCATCCTTGGTGTAGCCAACGCTCAGTGTTGCTCGGTCGACAACAATAATAAGCTAGATTTGGCAGTTTACACTTCCAATTGACAATTATCGCAAAAATCGCTGTATATGCACAGCCTGGAATGGCGCAGTTGGCCCAGAACTTCTACCCCTATTTGTGGCATAGTGGTTTGCATCACGTCCTGTGAAACTAGAGGTCATTGGTTCGACGCTCCACTCTAGAACTTTTTTTTTTCTTTGCAATCTGTTAGTATATATTTTACGTCACGTCCATGATGAAAATACGTCAGTGACCCATGGTGGACCCTAGCATAAGACACTTTTGTGTTAAAAAAGACTGAGCTTATGAATATTGTAAGCATATTGTCTGTAAACTGAACAATTCTGTACTAATGACAAAACAAAACATTTCACATGCTTGGGGAGTGAGTGGAACAGGAGAGTAGTTACTGGCATCTCATTTGTCACTGCATTCATCTCAAGCACAAAAACATTTAGTAAAATTTACACACCTTTGTCTGAAGACTTTTCAAACACCATACTCCAACCAGAAGAATCATCCACTTCGAATGAACCACACACAGACTGAAGTGCCTCAGATAACGTCATATGAAGCCTCTCAGTGATTCCAGAAGAATGGTGTTCATCTGAGTATATGATCACACAGTGAGATAGTGCTATCTAAAGCAGACCAGACAGGTTAACAGATACAAATATAGCAGGATGCATCGAGTATATAACTAGAGCAGTAGCATTTATCTAATCACCAATACATCTAATGAATTACCATGATACAGATCAACTAAGCAAATAAAAGACCAGACAGGTTAACAGATACAAATATAGCAGGATGCATCGAGTATATAACTAGAGCAGTAGCATTTATCTAATCACCAATACATCTAATGAATTACCATGATACAGATCAACTAAGCAAATAAAATGTCAAGACAATGCAAGTGACAGGAGGAATGCCAACAATTGAGTACTAAGAGTCAATGATTATATATAGCTGCAAAAGACATGTTGCACATCCTACAGTACAAAATTTCATGTTATCAAACAAGCAGAACAAGAAGTGCATCACAGCCTGTCCTTGTGTATTTTACCTGGATTTCATGAGTGACACCAAGGCCCTTTTTATAATGAGAAAAACTGAAGAAACACTGATGCAATAAGTGGTGAAGCCCTCCATATAAGTGGCTACTAAAATCTCTACTGTAAACACCTTTCCCACATGCAATAAACACACACCTATCAGAACAGAAATGATGCCTTGTGCATTCTGGCAATAAGCTGACTGCCGTCTCCAAATTAATGTTCAAACAGTTCATGTATATAATCTTTTGACCAATGAGACAAAAAACATACTGCAGACAATAAAAAATTTTATTTCAGTAGTTTATTAGCCCAAACCAGAAACTGAAGCTCCAGACTAATTTTGAACCAGCTGAGGTTCTTTATTAAGAAACTAAATCCATGTATACTGGCACTTTTACACATTGCCTGTATCAAAATTCAACTGCAGTGATTTGGAATCAAACCCACCACATAGTGCTTCGTAGCACAACGCAAAGGCAGATTCTGACAATGGTGCTGCACAATAATAGAGCATCACATTGCCCTAAAAATATTACGATAAGTGTGTAAATGAGTCTAAATGTTTTTCATTCTGAAGTAACTAATACAGCCTTAAAAAGATCAGAAGATTTGCACCGAGAATGCCCATGGTTAGACAAAAAATGACTGGTATTATGTGCTTCGCACCAAAGGTACAGTATGTGAAGTTTCACTTTCATGCAGAAGACACTACATTTGCCAACGTGCTTGCTGCATGACTGACTGACTGTGGGAACACAACAATGACACACAGCAGCAGTTAGAGAGTAACTTGTCAGTGCATTACAATAAGCCTAGCTGCAAACTATAATTGGGACACTGCTCTGTTTGCAGGAAAAACAGGCTAACAAAAGAGACACTAAAAGCCACTAAAATAAAATGCTATGATGCATTGTGTGTCAGTGGCTTTAACAAGAAAAGACCAACATTTTCTTTTTTTGAATATCAATGTGGAAGCCATGTATCAGACTAAAGTATAATCTTTGCTTTGTTAGCCAATTATGCTTTCCTAATTAAAATTTATTGTGGATTCTGTGCCTGGTTCTTCATGCTTATTAAGAAAAGCACTTTAAGAAATAAAAAACAGCTAAAACTCAATCTAACGAAACTCAATTTTATGAAGTTTCTGACCTAACAAAGAGAATTCCATTCCCTGGCAAATACCCATTGGGTTCAGTGTCAGCAACTCGAACTAATAGACAAACTTGGCTACTAAACCCGATTTAACCCTTTGAGGGTCGATTTTTTTATCGCCGATTTAAATTTATATAAGTATTTATTTATTTCGTAATACCCTCTGGCCCAAAGGCATTATGGAGGGGGGTGAAACACAATTTTTTACTCATACAATGTTAGCTAATAATAAAAAATAAATGAATAAATAAATAAATAAAAAAAATATAAGCATTGAGTATAAACAGAACAAGTAAGTATGGGCATTTATACGATGCTAGTTAGCACAGAACGAAACAAGTGATGATCGGTCAAAATGGCCACAGATCCGGGAAGGCAGTTCCAGTCTACTGGTGTTCTGGGAATAAATGAATCGCTGCATGTTTTGGTCAGACATGACATAACACCAACTTTATTGGGATGATCAATTCTAGATGATACGTAAGAAGTGCCTCGGGAAGAGTTGGAATATGATGATAAATTTTGTGGAATAGACAGAGGCAGAAGAGCATATGATGTGAGGCAAGAGACGGCAGTTCGAGTGAATTTTTCATGGCAGAAATGCTAGCGTGACGACTGTAGTTGTGAAGAATGCAGCGAACAGAATTGTTTTGAATTAGTTCAAGAGTATTAATTAAATTAATTGAACTCAGATCCCATACTGCAGCGGCGTATTCTATCTTGCTACGAATCAGTATCTTGTACATAGGTAGTTTAAGTGAGACAAGTGCGGAAGAGAAGTTGTGATGAATGTACCTAAGCACGCGGTTTGCATTAGTAATAATGGAGTGAATATGAAGTGACCAGCTTAAACAAGTGGTGATGTGTACGCCTAGATAACGGTAAGACGTGACTGAGTCGAGTGGGATGCTGTTAAGTGAGTAAGTAGCAGGAGAAGATAATATTCGAGACATGCGCAATATCTTGCATTTAGAAATATTTAGTTCCATTTGCCAAGTCATGCATCAGTTAAAGATGGAGTCAATGTCATTCTTCAGATAAATCAGTTTTAAAAAATAGTTGTCGAAATATTTTTTCAGTGACCGTAAAGAGACAAAAAAATCATTCATATCGTTACATACGCATAGTGTATTCGTGAGTGACAGCCAGATAAATTAATTAATGACAGCCAGATAAATGTACAAAAAATTGTGTTGGCATGAATGCCTGTGTGCTAAACAGACATACGAAAATGAGTGCATGAAGAGGCTTAAAGTGGAAACATGGAGGAATAAAAACTGCTTTTGATCCAGTCAGCATCGTCTCACAGCACACACTTTTGAGATGTTGCTCTCTCATCAGCATCCGAGACTTAACTCATAAACAAGTCCTCATATGACAGGCTGACATTTATTGAATCAGATTGTGATTTGGCTGTTGAGCCGTGAATTGGAAGAATCACTGGTAGACTCACTAGTGGCAGAGAAACTGGCGCACAATTTAACAGAGCAAGCAAACTGTGCGGCTGAGTGCACCAAGAAGAACAATGTAGTTGTGAGCACATATAGAAAGCAAAAACAAGTCTGCAACTTTTAATAATCATTTGCCTTATAGCCAACGAGACGAAAACTGTTCCTGTGAGTCCCCGAAACAGGGAACGCAGCCATAGCGGCATCATTTGTGTTAGTCAACACCTGCCTGGAATCAAGCTTAGTCGTACATTGGAGAGGAATAAACGAGACAATAACCAGGACAATAACCAATCCATCACCTTTAGAAATATATTCAAAAACATAAAGTCAGCAGTTTTGCGGGTGCAATAAGCATGAACTCGCCGAAGAACGAAACCGAGGTGGCGTGCCGCTGTAGTAAAGCATAAAAAAAAACAGACTTTGGCACTAGAAAGAAATTTCGTGCATTCCCGCAATGTGGCAAACCACATGTCAAGCAAGAAAAATTATTGAAAAAGGCAAGATTTCTAAACATGCAGGCAATGACGTTCTTGAATGTCTGTGACCATCTTGTGGCTGCTGGCGGACAATGTACATGTACATCTTTGACCCTCAAAGCATTAACGCAAGTTTTTCCTGCAAATATTCCATAAAGAGGCCAAGAATTTTGACAAAGATAGGTTTTTGTTGTATCCGTATGTTATCACGCTATCATGTTACAACATCAAATAACCTAGTTCTGGCCTCAGCGTAATCCTTATGAGGCTGCTCACAGCACCCATGCACGGGACCCTAAGAGGGCATTGACAGGAAAATTTGCAGTTGTCTACTTGCGTAAAATGAAACGCCAAGCTTTCAAGAGGCTAGAAAATGTACTTCCAAGTGTGAATGCACCTTGAAAAAATAATTACAGTATGTTTTTAAAACTAGTTTTGGTGTCTACCTGACATCACATCATCACAAGAGTTTCTCGTCACATGTTTGCGCAAGATATCGTGACACTTCCACAGCCACTCCTTACCACTGTTCCAATGAAGATGCACAAATAGCCATTTTGGATGTTTTGATGACACAAAAGCAACAATTCCGTAAGTCTTAGTACCTGAAGTCATTACAATTAACCATGAAGTCAACTGCTGCATGAAGTCCCCTGAACTAGTACTGTAGCCTGACGTCAAGCTAGTGTCGATGTTGGTAGGTGTGCCATAAGAAAACCGATTTTAATATCAGAATAACATATTTTATCAGCATTTGCTAAACTTCACACTTCCTCAGAACAATCTCTACACCAAGAAGATTACTATGGCTGATTAAACACACCTTTGAAAAATGGCATTAACACCCCTTTAAAGGGGCCCTGCAACATTTTTTTCAATATAGTAAAAAAACACGGCCTATCGTTTATCGAGGCACCTGATAACATGTGAGGTGAACATTATAGCACAGCACACAGCTTGAAATTTGTAATTAATTTTCAAAGTCAGTGAAAAGTTGCTACTTTTTTTCCCAACCTATATGTCCACGCCATAAACTTAAAGTCTATGGCCATTCACTGATTTGACCATCAAGAGGTGCATAGTTATAAATGTTCCACAGGTTAGCGCGACGTGCCCACATGCTCGCTCACTGAAGGTAAGGTAAGGATTGAAGAAAAAAAAGAAAAGAAAATGCTCAAAAACATGACATGCGCTTCTTGCCCCCTTGTTATCCCTCCTCCTCATGAGTAGCTTTCAATGTGCTTCGCTGGTACGAATGGAGAGAAAAAGCGCATAAAGAGTGAATAAATCCCCTCAAACTCCTCACCTACTTTACAGGTTCTTAAAACTTCATTAACCATTCAATGATCATTTAAAAAAGTATTGCAGGGCCCATTTAAGAACAGAACAGGGCTAGGTGCAGCAGTGGTTGTTCTCGCTACTTTACCATTTCATTTCCAAAGCCTGCAAATTAATGGGCGCCTCCAGTGTCAATCTTGCTGGCGAATCACCTTGAGGACTTTTTAATGCTATTAATGGGTGCCAGCACATTTTTGTTAATCTAAAGATGCTTGGATACTGCCATCGATCGGTACACTGATGGCAGTAACTTATATTGGTTGAAGGCACTCTGGTGATGCTTTTTTTTTCATTTTGGCTTTTTTTTTTCATCCAGCCATAAAAAAACTGGTGGTACTTAATGCCTTGAAGCGACCGAATGAGCTCATTTTCCCCATCAGATTCCTCCTAATCCTGTGAATAAGAAACCCTCAAAGTAGTGTCAAGTGTGGAAAATACTTGACAAGAGAAGACAAAGTGAAAGCCACTGGGGGTGCAAAGAGTGTGATGCCGCCCTCCACACACCACATTGCTTTAAACTTTTTCACACTTTGAAACGCCTGCGAAGTGCGACAACTTCAGACATTGGAGTATTGGAGTATTTGCGAGATTTAACCATAGTAGGCTCATTAAACCAAACTTTAAAAGGGACACTAAAGAAAAACAATGACTTGATCTAAATTGACAAACTGCACTGTGATAACTCTAATGCCATATGTTTCATTACCACAAGTTCATTATTAGCGAAGAAAATCAAGCTTGAAGTTTAATTTTTATATTTCCCACCAAAATCTCCGCACATGATGTAAGAAATTTCAAAATGTATTTACGGCATTTTCGTGGCATTGACTCAATTAAACTTTCTGGAACTTTGTATGCTATGTCTAGGGCACCGACAGACTATAATGTACTTCATATTTATCAATTGGAAGATATGTAGTACCTAGTAGACGCCTTCAAAATTTCTTACGTCGCAGTGTTTCGTGCGGGAATGTCACCGTGGCATCGCCACCCACATTTCTTTTTGCACATTTTCTCACTTACTAAGCGTCACGTCGCGATAACAGTGGTGTTTTGGGGATTGTGAAATTGTAATTTACCAACACGAAAAAAATTGCTTTGCTTTTTAGTGTCCGTATAAGGGAACGAAAAAATACGTTCCATTTAAAGGGGCAGACTCATCTAGGACACTTCATTTCTTCAGTGATCTTCATCAAACTGAACAGGCTTATGCAGTTTTTCTGTCGATTTCAAATATGTAATTACTTTTCCTGCAACTCTTGTTCCTGAGATAACATAAGTTCACTCCTTTTTGTTTAAGGCTGCCATAGAGAAAAAAGTGCTTCCTTACAAGTTATATTTAATATATGGCAACATAGACTAATGATTGAAGATTGAAAGTATGCAAGAGGGTTTTTTTTTTTTGCCTTTCTTGGCTATTTTACAACAAAATGAACTTTTTATTTTAAAAAGTAGTAATTGAGTTACAATTTTGATACGTAGTTAATTAAAAGGCTTGTGCACTAAGTTCTGCTTAAATAATTGCATTCTATACATGTAGAAGTTTCCATTACAAAAAGAATTATTACTGTACCTGCCCTAGCTGCAAAGATATTGAGGCCTCAAAAGTGAACAGTCGTAAATTTACTTTTTCGAAAAAAGTGGAAAAAACTCCTAACACACAGTTTCTTCAAAGAACACCAATTACAGTGTGCATGTTTTCGAATGTTCTTATAGATGCTCATAAATTGGTAGCAGAGCTTCAAACACAGGTGCTGGCAAATTATAAAGAAGTCTCGAAGTAGGCTCCCCATTTTTGCAGGTTCTGCATTTTGGTAGCACCAAGAATCTGGACAGTCAGAATGGCAATACAAATAAAATTACCACTTCCTAGTGTGTGAACATTTGCAGAAATATTGAAAGATACTTGCAGAAACCAAATATGTCAATTTTAAAAAATGAATTTTTCTGTCACTTTTCGTTCCCAAAGACCAGTCCACTCCCTTAACAGGCGTTCCGTTTCTGAGCGATGAACACAGATGAAGAATGCAGGGACGAAACCAATCATATCAGAGGTAGTTGTACTAATTAAGCAGCAGTTCCACTCAACAGCTTTTTGTTTACTGAAAATATACCGAAAATGTACTTCAATATCTTTTGCTAGGTGCTTACAATGAAGAGAAAAGGGAGTGTTTTGCATATGCAAGCACTTTCGCTAAAAAATGCACAGTACAGAGGGCCCCTACAAGTGCACGGCCAGCGATCGCAAAAGGGGTTAATGGCTTATGAGGCAGACGGCACAGATTCTCTCCTGAAAACTTTCTCGCTTAGCCTCTTTACAGAATCACTGCATTTGTTCTTTGCATATTCATAGCCAGTCATAGATTGATGTGAAAGTCTACCTCGCCTACATTAACCAGACACCATGTCCCTAACGCCCGAGCAATATCGGAGGCTTCATGTCAGGGGTTGCTTTCAAACCACCTTCCCAAACTTTTAGCATGCGCAGGCATGGATTGGAGGCAGAAACAATGGTACATTCTGGGTGTTGCTATGTAAAAATTTTAGATTTCAAAGTACCAAAAGAATTCCTATCCCAACTTAACGAACTTTCCAATTTAACTAAATAATATGAGTGTTGTCATCACTTTATTATATCAAGTTTCAGCTGTAATAAAACTAACATTTTCACGGTGTTTTAACAATTACTTTTTTGTAGCAGCACACCTTTAAAAGGGGCCCTGGAACACTTTTTCAGCATGGTCAAAACACGCTGCCAATTGGTAGTCATGAGAACACACGAGCAAAACATTATAGCAGAGCACGTTGCTTGCAATCAACAAATAATTCTCAAAGTCGGTTAGAAATCACTCCCTCTTCTCTCTAAAAATGATGCCATATAACCGCCTACGCCATATACCCAAACTTATGGCCATTAGCCGATTTGACCATGCTGAGGTGCAAGAGGCCACCATGTGCCCAGTAGTGCGTGCCTGCACTGAAGTAAGCCGCACCTTTGAAGAAAAAAAAAATCATGTGCTCAAAATCATGAGGCGCGCATGATGCAATTTCTTTCCCCCATGCCATCCTTCCCTGCTTAGGTTCCGATGCCCTCATCGGGACAAGAAAAAAGCAAAAGCAATCACAGAGTGTGACAAATCTTTACACTAACTCTATTCATACTTGATGGATTCTAAAAACTTTTGCAGTAGTTGATTCATGAGGCAATAATCTCCTTTAATGAAGCCATTCAATACTTACTTGCAAAAGTGTTGCAGCGTCCCTTTTATCATGAGCAGAGACATCAATATGACAGAAATTTAAAAAAAACAATTAACTTTGTAACTGACGGAGAGAGGTGGCTGGGTCAACGGGAGAATTTCAGTTTCACCAGCGAACTTTTTCAAGTTTTATAACTATGCAATAATTACCAAAGGCTGCCTTTTGGAAATCTGAAAGTGCCAATGGGTTCTTTGCAAGGACTATATTTTCCTATTTAACCCTATCATGTGCAGTCTCTAATTAAAAAGCTGATTGCCCTATCTTGTCTAATAAATGCCACAATTATTGTCTCAGCTCATCTCAACACATCTGCCACAACAAAATATGTAATCATGAAGGCAGTAAGCAAATATTGCATTGTCCTTATTTTGGGGCATATTCTGACATTTCTTGGAACATCCTGTAAATTGTAATCATGAAATAAAAAGCAGTCAGCAAGTTCATGTTTGTCTTGATGCTTTCTTTGTTCTTGGTTCTCACATGCATTGTTAATCTGTTAGGACAAGTTACCAGCAAGTCCAAACAAGCTTTGATGACGTCGACATCTACTAATTAGGTCAATGGCAAATCTTACTTTCATGAACATGACCATGCAATAATACACTAACATTCTTTTTACTGCTTTTAGCTTCACTTCAAAGCATGAACAATTTCTCCCAGTCAGGCATTCAAAAACAAAATTTAGTGTAGCATAAATAGGATGAACAAATACACAATTTACATACCATAGTTTGGCAATTGAAAGGCAGTATTACAGCCCAAAAGGTTCAGCTGTTCATCTAGCTTTTCATTAACTTCTGTACTAGTTTCCTCAAGGCGGAGGACCTGCTCAGTCGGTTCGTACTGAAATTCTGCAAGAACAAATAAGAAAAATGTGTAAGATAGACATCAGACCTTTTTCTTCTAAATAACAACAATGACAATTTAAGAAAGAGAAAGGTTTTCAAACAGCTAGTCAATATTCACCTTCACACAACTATTAAGCCAGATATTTTTTTTTTTGAGTTGTATTGCAATATTGTATCACAACATGAGACAGTATGTACAAAAAATAAAAGTTTAAAAGCGGTAAACTAATGAAAGCACCACAACAACCGGCTCCCCTTCTACAAAGCAGCGCGAACTGCAATCACACAGCAGAAAACTCAATATTTGTGTTAGGGACAGCGGATGCGGTGACCTCCGTAAATCCGCCATGCTGCAACTCCGCAGTACCCTTTCATGTTAATTTGAGTGGCAAATATCTAATAAATAGTGCTGTAAATATCTCTGTATCAGGTGTCTCAAACTCATCTCAGCTAGTGTGTTGCACTAACAAAATTTAGTCTCCCACACGGGCCAGTACAGGGAACGTGAATGGAGCAAGAAGGGGGGACAGGGGAGTCTTGTTGTAAGTCAATTAGCAATGCCACTTGAAAGCCCTTTTTTCGATATCACATATAGGTAATTTCTGAAGAATACTTGACATCCGGATTTGAGAAAAACATTAATACTGACTTTGAGAATGAATGACATAATCCCAACTTGTCTGAAATATAGCATTTTTGTTCCACGTTTATGCTTCAACACGGTGTTGTCTCTTCCTCTGTCCTTGTCTATATTTTTGCGCTGTTTTTATATCCCAAGCTTCAACACATGGTGATTGCATGAGATTACTAGAGAGTAAAATGTTTGAGGCCAGTTTGTCTGTGTAGCTCATGAAAACACTTAATAAAATAAAATAAATATATATGGAATGCAGACAGCCATGTGGGGGCCAGGCTACAAATTAAATGTCTGTGGACTAGTTGTTTGAGCGCCCTGCTTTATAGTAAAGGGAAGCTTTACCAAATCTAACTGCCCAAGAAAATTCCATATATAACACCAAAATTACTTTGGCACTATCACAATAAATTAATGATTATAAAAATTGTAGCATCTCCAATAAACCTCGATTAAACCAAATCAAAATTCAGAATTTCTTATTTATGTACTGTGGTTCACTGCATGGCAGTTTTGATGATGATATATGGTGTTTTTTGGCGCAAGGGCCATTTGATGGCCAAAGAGCGCCAGTTCATGAGACAGGAATGTGGACAATGGTTGTGATTAGCGGCTGTATAGGGGCCATAAAATTCCTCGCAGTAAAGCGGGTAAAACATACAAGTAATAAAATCATGACTATGCCGTGAAAGGTGTGCATGGTGTGAATAGGTGACAAAGGTTGGTGATAATGAAAAACGATGGTGGACATGTATGGCATTAGCACAAGTACCTCACACGTTAGTACCCTTGCGTGCAAGGGTCGTGAGGCAAGTGCTTTCCTGTGTAGCCACCGCAGCAAAAACCTCTCTAGAGAGGTCATGCTACGGTATGCCCGGGTATATGATATGAAAATTATGAATTTCCTTTAAAAACGCTAATAATGATTTGTGACTAAAAAGCGGTTCCGTACCGACGAACATTGCAGGGTGTAAAGGTATATGTTGTCGGTAGGGAAGTGGGAAGTGTTGTCTTCTTAGAGTGTCTAAATGATTACATTGAATTAAAACGTGATTAACTGTTAATGCCTCACCACATTTATCACACAATGGTGGATCACCACCAGACAAAAGATGTGTGTGTGTCGTGTATATGTGTCCTATCCTGAGTCTTGTTAGTGTTACCTCTGTTAGACGTGATTTTGATACTGGTGGCCAATGGCCAAGGTGTGGCTTGATAACGTGTAGTTTGTTTTGTGTGTGTGTATCCCACTTGCTCTGCCAGTAGTCCCTGAGGTTTTGTTTGAGAGAGTGCTTCAGATCAAGGACCGGGATTGATATGGATGTAGGGGCAGTGTTTTTGTGGACGGATGCAGCGAGCTGATCCGCCCTCACGTTGCCTTGGATCTCGCGGTGCCCTGGCACCCAGCACACCACAACATGTTGGTTGAGTGTGTAGAGTGTGCAAAATATGGAGTAAAGTGAGACAAGGACAGGGTTTTTTTTGTTTTTTAAGACTGTGCAGAGCCGTTACCACACTGAGGGAGTCTGTATAAATTACTGCTTTTTGTATTTGTAATTGTTTAATGTGTTTAGCTGCCACAAGTATCGCGTAAGCTTCCGCTGTGAAGATACTTGTGCCTGGATGTAGAGGGCCAGCATCCGAAAAGGAAGGGCCAACAGCAGCGTAGGACACAGAGGAGTTAGACTTAGAGGCATCTGTAAAAAACTCAGGACGTGTGTATTTGTGTTGAAGTTCCAGGAATATGTTCGGATATGAGCAATGGGCGCATGTTTTGTAACCTCTAGAAAAGACACATCACAGTCTATAGTCTGCCACTGCCACGGTGGCGGGTATGCTACAGGAGCCATTAAACTGTGTTCGAGTGACACTCCAGTGTCCTCAGCTAGACCCTTCAGGCGAACCGAGAAGGGCTGCCTCATTGAAGGCCTGTTTTGAAAAAGAATGGAGCTCGACAAGTCATTGATAGTAGAGTATGAGGGGTGCCTCTTGTCTGCTTTCACCTTAAGGAAGTATACAAAGGACATGTAGGTTCTTTGCAGATGAAGCGACCACTCATTTGACTCAACATAAAGGCTTTCTACGGGGCTGGTGCGAAAAGCACCCGTAGAAAGGCGGATGCCCAAATGGTGCACGGGGTCCAGCATCTTCAAGGCACTTTGAGTAGCAGACTGATAGACAACGGCCCCATAATCTAAGCGGGTGCGAATGAGGCTTTTATAGAGGTTCATGAGGCATTGCCTATCACTACCCCAGGTAGTACGTGACAACACTTTAATAACATTCATGGCTTTTAAACATTTTGTTTTTAAATACTTGATGTACGGTACGAAGGTCAACTTGTTGTCCAAGATTAAGCCTAAGAATTTATACTCGGCTTTGACAGACAGACGTTGCCCGTTCAGTCGAATGTCAGGTTCCGAGTGCATGCCTCTCTTTCGAGAGAACAAGACACACGTGCTCTTTTGTGGGTTCAGTCGGAATCCGTTTTCCTCTGCCCATTTGGAGACCTTGTTTAAACCTAACTGAACCTGTCGCTCACACATTACCAGATTGCAAGATCTAAAGCCAAGCTGGACATCGTCGACATATGTACAATAAAACATATTGCGAGGGATGGACAAGTGCAAGGAATTCATCTTGATGAGAAAAAGTGTGCAACTAAGCACGCCACCTTGTGGCACGCCTGTTTCCTGGACAAATGTTTGAGAGAGCACACTGCCCAGACGGACACGGAATGTCCGGTTTGACAGGTAGCTTTCGATTATATGAAACATTCTTCCGCGCACACCAAGGTGGGACAGGTCTCTTAGGATTCCAAAACGCCATGTTGTATCATACGCCTTTTCGATATCGAGGAACACAGAGAGAAAATATTGTTTATGGACAAAGGCGTCTCTGATCTGTGCCTCGATACGAACAAGATGGTCTGTGGTGGATCTACTTTCTCGAAACCCGCACTGAAATGGGTCGAGCAAATTGTTTGTTTCAAGGATATGTACAAGTCGGCAGTTTATCATTTTTTCGAATACTTTGCACAAGCAGCTTGTAAGTGCAATAGGCCTATAACTTGAAGCTAAAGAAGGGTCCTTGCCCTCTTTCAAAATGGGAATAATAATAGCCTCTTTCCAGGAGCTAGGGATAGTGCCAGAAAACCAGATAGCATTGTACAAACAAAGTATGGTTTTTCGTGTTTCGGCTGGTAGGTTTTTTAGCATTTCATACACCACACGGTCAAAACCTGGGGCAGAAGTGCTGCAGGAGTTTAGAGATGTTCGGAGCTCCGCTAGACTGAAAGCTTGGTTATATGCCTCGTATCTGGTGGATTTCTGTTCGAGTTTCTGCTTTTCTATTCTTGTTCTGTATTTTTGGAAAGTGTCAGTATAGTGGGACGAGCTGGATACCCGTTCAAAGTGTGCCCCGAGGAAGTTTGCCTGATCTTCCAAGGTATCCCCTTGAGTGTTTACGAGTGGAAGTGTGTGTACTTGTTTCCCTGCTATCCTACCGACCATGTTCCAGACTTTAGCCTCCTGTGTGTATGAATTGACCCCTGATAAAAACTTCTGCCAGCTTTCTCTTCTGGCCTGCCGACGCGTTCTCCTGCCACGAGATTTTATTTTCTTAAAGCTCTCAAGGTTTTCCGCTGTCGGCGAGTTGCGCAGCAACCTCCATGCCCTGTTTTGTTCCTTTCGCGCATTCTGACACGCAGTGTTCCACCACGGGACGTGTCGTTTGCCGGGCAGTCCAGATGTTTGTGGAATGCACTTGGCTGCTGCGTCAGTAAGAAAAGCCGTGAAGTACTGCACAGCTTCATCTATGCCTAATCCGCATATGTCGGTCCAACTTAGGTGTGTAATCTTTTGAAATTGTTCCCAGTCGGCTTTGTTCACCAGCCATTTGGGAACATGTGGAGGATATTCATATGTTATTGGTGTACTCAAAACTAAAGGAAAATGGTCACTTCCGTATGGGTTATTTATGACTTTCCACTGAAGTAATGGTACAAGTGAAGGAGATGCGATACTGAGGTCTATGGAGGAGTAAGTATTGTTTGCAAGGTTATAATATGTTGCCTGTTTTCTATTCAACAGACAAGCACCTGATGAAAAGAGGAACTGTTCAATGAGACGACCTCGCGCATCACATCGACAGTCACCCCATAAACCGCTGTGCGCATTCAGGTCCCCTAGAACCAAATAAGGTTCTGGTAACTCATCTATTAAGACTGGAAATCATGTTTTTCTAGGCGGTGTTGCGGCGGTATGTATAGAGAGCAGATGGTGACGAGCTTATTCAATAGAACTGCTCGAACAGCCACTGCCTCTAGGGGTGTTAGTAGTGGTAGATGACTGCATGCTACTCCTCGATT